ATATACGTACATATATGCATGTGTAAATATATGTACATGTATACATATGCATATATTCTGTGGAGTCTATGGCTAAAGAACTTTGAAACATATACATGAATACATGTATATATGTATACACACACACATATATATACACATACGTACACACATATGTACTTATAGACCACTTCTTTCCTGTTTCTTACATTTGTTGTTATCTTTACAGTACTTTGATATTCATACTTCCTACCTCAGATATGGGTTGAAAAATCCATTGTAAATGTCAAACGCAGTTCCTTCACCTTAAAAATTCTCAGATAAAAGAGGGCCTGGGGAGTACATTCTGCCTTCTACCTAGAATATATTTTCCACCATCTCTAAAGTGCCTCACAGCTGTAGTCCTTTTGTGGCAAAAAAGAAGAAGCAGAAGAAAAAACACCCACTTCCCTGGCAACAACTTTTATTTAGTATTGAAATAATATCTGTGTGTTTGGAAGGCTGGAGCACCTATTAGTGCCTTAATTTCTAGGGTTTATGGAGCAGTAAATTGGGTTGGCATCTGTTGCATCTCTGCCCTAACATGGCATGATTCAATTTTGGCAATTAGTGGGCACAGCCTGCCATTAGTAGGAGTAATGAAATGATGCGGGTGAACATCTCAGGGAGCCAAGATTATTTTGTGTTTGTACAAATGGTATATTGTCTTGGTTTCCAAAAGCCTTCCCTTTCTGAAAAAAATTATGTTGGAAAATCCAATTTAACCAAATAACCAGAACCAGAGCACGGGGTCTCACAGTAACAGAACTGAGTGTTCCACAATGAAGGGCTCTGCCAACACTGTAGGGACAATAGCCATTAGCTGAGCAGATGTACTCTGGTGGCTCTGCATCAAGATGTGGTTGCAAGAACCTAAGGGGACACAGAAGAACGTGGAGAGGGATCAGTGGCTGTCTAGTAAACGACCCAATGACATTTTAGGTAGTCCCCAAATGATCTGCACTGAGCGTATGTATGGACAACAGGCATGGCAGGTTGATGATTATTTTCCCCCACAATCCCACCACCCCGCTCAAGGTCCTCATACCCCTACCTCCCAGACTGCTGGCATCAAAAGCATGGGCCACCAAACCTGGCCCACTTCCCTTCCCTTTTAGACAGGAAAAGAGAGAGAGAGAAAAGGGAAGGGTGGCTGTGAGGGAGGGAGAGAAATAAGGAAGGAGTGGGGATTAGCTTCCTTAGAACATGGGTGAGACCTAACTATGGGGATACTCTTGACCATAAGTAGTGTTTGTCATTCACCCTTACTGCTATCCCAACTCCCTGGGAGACGTTATGCTTGAACATAGGTTAAAGGATGAAATTATTATTTCATTTAAAGGATAAAAACTATCTATTTTCCCTAGATGGGGAAAGAATGATTGTGAATGAGATGGTCCAGGCTTCTCCCTGCATGGTTTCCTGTGGCAACCCCTGAGCAGCCCTTTTGTAGCCTTCCTTTGCAAAGCAAAATAGCATTAGTGAATTCAGTGGCTTATCTTTCCCAACCAACCTTTCCCTAGGAACTTCACACAGGACAGCTGTTCTCAGGAAAGTGCTTTCAAACAGCAAGCACCTTTGTTCTCCTCCCTTGCTTCTGACCTCTCTGTTTTTCAAATTCTCAAATTTGAATTCTCAAATTATATTTAGTCTGACCTTTAGCACCCATGCATATCAGAAAGAGGCCATTTCTCCTGCTGTCATCAAGTTCTAGACTGTGCATTTTGATCCTAAGGCACCATGTACATCTGATTGACCTGATTCTGACAATTCTGGCTCTGGGTCAATTCTTCCCCCTGAAAATAAGTGGTCCCTGGCCAACTTGCCAACTTGCCATTGGTGAACTGCTCTGTACTGTCCCCACTCCCAGCCTGAACTCCCCTCCCAGGCCAGGAAGAGGTCCAGGACTCTGACCAGGGCTGGGGGTCAGGAGCTGGACTGGAGGATTTGAATAGGGGGTGAGTAGGGAGTTGGAGGTAAAGAGTAGGTGGAGCAAAGCAGCTAGCTGCTGAGAACACATTTATGACAACCAAGAGCCTACAAAGAACCAGAAAGCCGTGTGCAAGGCCAGGGGGCCTGCAGAGAGAGCTGTGAAATTGGGAGGATGAAGGAGCTTGGGCTGGACATGTTCCCAGGTCAAGGATGGTGAGTGACTGGGGCAGATCTAGGTTTTGTCAGGTCTGAATCTCATGCAAACAAGTATCTCTGCTCAACAAAGGAGTACAGAATTGTGAATATAAAATTAGATAGAAAAGTGAATTTTTATTTAGAATAAACAAGAAATCAAAGAAAATTGCACTTTAAAAAACCCATCAAATATCACAGCTGCTAAAAAGAAATCCAGAAAAGTAACAATATTTCATCAAATGCCTAACATTCTTCTCTGATTTTGGGGTGAGGGGTGGTTTACTGGAGTTTGAACTCAGGGCCTTGCACTTACTAGGCAAACATTTTAATACTTAAACCATGCCTCTAGCCCTTTTTCTTTTAGGTTATTTTCAGAAAGGGACTTGCTTTTTTGCCTGGGACTGGCCTCTGACCACAATTCTCCTGCCTATACTTCCTGTGTAGCTGGGAATACAGATATTGACCATCATACCTGGCTTGCTTGTTGAGATGAAGCCTTGCTAACTTTTTGCCCAGGCTGGCCTTGAACTGTGATCCTCCCAATCTCTGCTTCCCAAGTAACTGGTATTACAGGTGTGAGCCACTGTGCCTGACCTAATTTTTTTCATAACATATACTTTGATTGCCTCTTCACTTGACAATGATTTCATAATATCCCTATTTATGGAAGAACAGAAAGAACATACATTTCCTCCACTAGCATGGTCCATCAAAATTTGATTTTTAGATTTCATAGTGGGTTGCAAGAATGCAGCTATTTATGTTTGCAACTTTCCAGAGGCTAGGTTCTAGCTCTGTATGTTTTGAATCTTGATCCTCCTTCATTACCTGCATACTGATGGTGACATAGGATACATTTATATTTTGATATGACCTCTGACCTTTGAGTCATGGCCTCAGCTAAGTCAGCACAAAGAGTGTCAATAGTGTTACTAGAAGTCAGTCCTTTACCAGGACAGTAAACAATAGCATAGCTATGACTCAGGACCACACAAATATATCTCATTAGACCTAAACTAGATCCCAAATTTGTCTTCTCATTCAGTGAAGTCCCCAAAATGCCCATGGTGACTCCAATAGCCAATGTCAGAGGAAGCAAAACAGAGGCAAACAGAAATGGAAAGAGATTTTGGTCTTAAGCAATTGCATCTCAATATCTTATGTTTGTTTTATGAAAACAAATTATTAAGTGAGCACTATGGTCAGTCCTTTTGAGATCCTGGATTTTGAGTTTTCTAAAAGACTTTCCTGTCACAGGAAGTCTTCATTGGGTTAGGTCAGAGTTCTCCAAACTTCTTTCTATGTTAACCAGATACATACAAAAACACACATGGTTTCTGTCATGAGTATGAAACAATCAAATGAATGAAAGTTTAACCATCTTGGTCTCCACACATCCTCTGGGCATATGGAAAGCACTGGTGACCCCCTGCTGGACTCTGAGCATGTCTGTTAGGAGCAAATAGTTCTCGTCTGTTAGATTTTGCTGTCACATGCTTCTATTTGAGGAAATACTTGCTACTCTAAATGGACTGTTTCAAGCAAAGAAACAGATTTTGGGAGTGGCCGGGTCTCTTCAGGGACCACAATGAACGAGCCATTCGGGCTTCCACGAAGTTAAGAGAAGTATCTCATCCCAGAAGAGGTGACAACAAACAGGTGGCCAGACATTCAGAGCTTTTGACCTTCCTCCACTTTCTTCACACTGTCACCAAGTCCCTGGTTGTTTTGGAGAAACCATGTTCACACTTCCCTTTGTTTCTTTTGTTTCCATCAAGATGGAATTATATGCTTGTCTTGCTGGTAACATTACTTTGACTAGGAAGGTCTTTAAGTGAGGCAGACCAAAATAGCCTCAGAGGCTATGGGAAGAAGAGAAAGAAACCTGAGAAGTCCCAAGAGGAAAAATTACACATCTGAGTTAAAGGAATTTGTATTCAGAAGTCGATGAGGCAAGATTTCTCGGTGGAAATCAAGTCCACTTTGGTTTTTTATTTCCAGTGCAAACTGATGTTTCACTGAAGTCGTAGAAGAGGACGGTTTAGGTGACCATGGAATAGTTCTGGCATGCTCTATTCAGCCCTAGCCCCTCAGTCCATTCACACACCCCAAATGACTACACCTGCCATCACACAGTTATGGCAATTACTGAAACTTGCATTAATAATAGCAAATATTGTCATTCATTGTGCATTCTTTATTCAATGGTTCCAATGACCAGAACATCTTAGAAATCTTATGGATTTCATAGGAAAGAAGAAAATGATAATGATATCATGGTAAAACCCAAATGGTAATATGGCATAAATTTGAATTTTGTGAGATATAAAAAATAAAAAGACATTATGTAGAATACATACAGGTAGAGAACATATAAAATTGTTAACAGAGGTTATATTCCATAGTGATCCTACAGGTGTTCATAATCTTTTTATTCTTTATATGTCTATATTTTTATGATGATTTACAATTCATAGTTATTCAATGACTTTGGGAAGCATAATTTTTTTTAAGAAAGATAAAATTATCCTGAATTTGAATAACAAATACATTTTCATTTGACTTAGTGTCTTGTAAATTCAGGTGTCTTCCTTGATAAATGGGAACCATAAACCCAAAGAGACTAAATAAACTTCCACAAAAGATTCCAAAACCAAGAGCCTTGGCATGGAGGCAATGCTGTTGCTTGGTCCCAGGGTCATGGAGAATGGTCAGTGACTGCCCTGCCTCTGTGAGCACACCATGAGGTCACACTCGCTCTGGGTCAGTTCAGCATGAGTCATGTTCCCCGGGGAAGGTGTTTTTCACATCTACAAGAGGAAGGAAGGGAAGGAAGCAAGAAAAAAAAACAATACCTTGGTTGTTATTGTGGTAAGTGAAGTGAATTTCAATGTGTCAAACCAGGTGGTAGAATTCTTGAAGTCAATCTTTTCTGAAAATGTAAGATGCACTATGTTTTTAAAAAATTTTTTTAATTGTTTTCAAATTTGTTTGTTTTTTCAGACTTCTTGGAACTGCCTATTAAAAAGAGGCAGTTAATTCCTCTGGCAAACATTGTGGAAACTTGACACACTCTTGGGGGGGTATTAAAAATGCAAGAGGGCATTTTATACTAAGAGGAGAGTGAGGGCAAGTATGGGGCACCCACTCACTGCTCCAGGTCAGCAAACCCAGAATGTTTTATTTAGACAAGTGTGCAGGGTACAGCCATATCTTAGGGAAGCTGAGTGGACAAATGAAGTCTTCAAAGCCCATCGATGAATCTCCCATAGCCTCTGATAACTGAAAAGTCTGGAATTTGATTTCAAGATACGTTTATGAAATCAAGCAGCTGATGTTACTTTCTTTGGCACCCGCACGATACATTTAAATTACAGCTCTGATAGTGTTACAATGCTATGCATCTCTGAATACACATTTTTATATCTTCAGTGAGTCTCTGGCTTTCAAAAGAAAAACTATGAAAGAAATAGATGGCTAATGAGAGAATCAGGTTCCCCGAAACATTCTCATTCTGACTCACCTGAAGAAACTTACATTCCCACCACTGACTGGAGGGTCTGCTCTCCAGTCAACCAAATCCCCATTTACCTGTACTCGCACGCTGAACGTTCATAATGACACTGAAAACAAAAGAATGGGAACCCACAGCATGACATTTCCTGACTTATGCAAGTTTCTGGGTAGGCGTGGTCTACAGTAAGGATGTCGCTAGTAGGTCCTTCAGCAGCCAGAGATTCCTCAACCTACTTCCTGCTTTTTCTCTCCTCTTGGTGAACTCTCTTTGAGCGCTGCTGTTGGAAAAGAATTTGCTAAGTGCAGTCCTGCAGTGGTTTGAAGTGGTAATTTTTATAAAGGTGTTTACTTTTTTATTAGTCAAAAAGTCTTTGACTGCAACAAACAAGCTTTTGTCAAACTTCGAGCTCCAATAAATGTATGTTGCAAAGTAAGAGCACCAGAAATGACTGTCACGTTCATGACTGCTTTTGGATTCAGTCAGCACCTCATGCACTGAGCACATTTTGCCAACAGCACTGTAGTTGTGGAAGCAGGCCACGTGTCCAGCACGAGGCACTACACATGGTAAACTGAGGCTGCATCTGAAAAATGCTAATCCCTTTACACAAGCAGTGACAAGCCATGGTGCCTGTGAAAGTTCTATCCAGAGAGCTTCTCGTCTATCACTGGTGGAATGCATCCCTTTCCCCTCAGTTTCTACAGTGGAAAATGGAGACACAGCAAGGTGAGAGGACTGTCCTCAAAAGTTTACATCCTTTTATTCAGCAGCAAAAAAAAAAAAAAAAAAAGGTTCAAAATCAGTTTAACGGCTATACTGCTGCCATCTCAAATCTTTCTTTCCCTTAAGTTCAGTCCTATCTTATTTCCTGTATGTTCCAGGTAATTGAGAACACGGTGGATAAGCAATTTTCTCATCAATAAAATGGCAATAAATAGTACACACCTTTAAAGGTGAAGGAAGGAGGAATGAGAGTTCAAGATCACCCCAGCAAAGTTAGCAAGACCCTATTTCAAAAACAAAAACGAAAGTACTAAGGGTGTGATTCAAGTGCCCGCCAGCCCTGGGTTGAATCCTTAGGAGTGGATCCAATCCCCAGTAGCCCCTCCCTCAAAAAAAAAAAAACAGTACTTCACACAGTACCTTGTACACCGAAGGTGCTTGATAAATGCAAGCCACTACCACTACCAACATCACCACTGCATTTGTAGCAGCAACCAGCTATGTTGTGCTAGTGAGACAAAGAAATTAACATATGGGAGGGCTAAGCAGAATCACAAGGTAATCCCTGTGAATTCCATAGTTGTAAAATGTACTCCTGCCTGTCAACCAGCTTGCTTGCTCCTTGGAAACAAAAACATGTAAGCGAGGTAGAATGTGCTTACAAGTAGAATCTACCTGTTGAGAGAGGCAGGTGGCAGAGGAGAGAGGGTCTGGGTGTCTGAGGTTTGGATTCTAGCTTTGTCCCGATTAGTCATGTGTACAGAGTGACCTTGGCCAAATGTCCCATGTCTTCGGACTTCTGCATCTTTTGTTGGCAATATGTAGTCTATGTTTGGTTTTAAACACATAATCTCTTTTGTTTATGATTCACCTACTTCCCTCCATTTTTTTCTCCTTCCATTTTTCCATGGAAAGACAAGGTAGAAGCCATAACAAACAGGAAAATAGCGCCCTCTAGGGGTTTTCAGCAGCATGTCTGTATTGAAAATGTGTGAGACTAAGAACCCCTGACTGAGCTTCCTAATGGACCTGCCCTACCTCTGGGCATACAGGTGGTGTTGGTTGTGTTGGTTTTTTGGTGGTACTGGGGCTTGAACTCACGGCTTCACACCTGCCAGGGAAGCGCTCTACCTCTTGAGCCACACCTCCAGCCCCAGTGTTGTTTATCTAGATGGGAATTTAAATGAATTTACTTTGGAAATTTAAAAATTATGAGGAAAACACAAAACCAAAAATCCCTATAAACTTAAAAAGGTAGAGAAAAATCTGTAGGAAATCATTGGGGAAAAGTTGGATCCTACTTGGTAAAGCAGCCATTCTTTATTTCAAAGATTTGTTTAAAGCAGAAATACAGCCTTTTTAATGCTAACATTGATATACTTCAGAAATTGTTCAAAAATGTAAGCAAGGTGAACTTTAGTATTTTATTTGTTCAATATTTGAATCTTTGAAAGTCCATTTTACCTTATATTTTTAGTACATTCTTCTTTTTCTTGACATGAGACAAAAACCAATAAGCGAGCATTATTGTCTCCTAGGCAACAGTCATAGAAAGTCACATGTCACCTGATATATCCTCCCATAGATAAGGAAACCAGTAACCCAGTGCTTGGGTTTCAAATTGAAAGCTACTATTCCTTTCTGGAAGAGTCGACATAAATAATGGCAGTGACAATCTTCAATACAAATAATAACAAAAGTGAGCTTTGTATGCTCCATACACTCTTCCATGACCTACATGGAGCACTTCATTTAATCCTCGCAACAATCCAGTAAATTGCTTCCCACTGTTTCTCCCACTTGACAATTGAAGAAATGGAGGTCTAGTGAAATTCAAAACTTATCAACACCTTTAGGCTTTTTGTCTACAACCACAAACTTAACTCACATTCAAATTATATACGAAATCCATACCTATGATTTACAAACTGTGATTTGCTTGTTTGTTTGTTTTGAACAACAAAAAAAATCCAGGTTTGCTTTTGAAAGTTCTTTCTAACCATCGTGGGGACAAAATAAGGAACACAGAAGTGGGATGAGGACTGAAAAACAGGTCATAATGGGCTCCAGGGAAAGGATAGAAGGGGACCATGGCTGTCTTGGTCAGGTAGGGAAAAGTTATCTGGACTGAAGAATAGATTGAAGTTCAACCATTGCCCTTCACGAGTTAAAGGATCCCCTGATAAGTAAAAGAAGCTTAATTGGTATGACACTTTCATTAAACCCTGTGCACATGTATTTTTATTGTCATCTGTTCTTTGGTTAAAAACATCAAAGTGCACATTATATGAACATCTAGTTTTGTGGGGTTGAAGACATGGTTTTCATGTGCATATTTTCTCATGTTTCACTTTGAATAAGTGCATGCTATTATTCATCATCTTCACATGTCAGAATCTGCTCAATCATTGCCTTATTGTTGAGGCTTTTAGATTGTTCCCAGTGTTATAAATAACACTGTTATGCTATTTCCAGAACATTTTTCATTTAAAATATATTTTTCTGATGTATATTCCCAAGAGTTTAATTTCTGTGTCAAAGTGTATAGCATGCTGTATCTTTTACTATATTTAGTTAGATATTTATTTTATTTTTAATTTTTTGCCAGTGTTGGGGTTCTAACTCAGGGTCTCACACTTGCTGGGCAGGTCCTTTTCCACTTGAGCCAAACCCCCAGCCCTTCTAGCTTTAGTTATTTTTCAGGTAGGTCTCATTTTGATCCTCCTATCTGCAGCCTCTTGCATATCTGAAATCACAGGCACCCCTCACCTTGCCCAGCTTACTGATTGAGATAGGGGTCTCACTAACTGTTGGCCCAGAGAGGCCGTAAACTGCAATCTTCCCAATCTGCCTCCTGAGATGTGAGCCACTGTGCCTGGCCTCAGCTAAATCACTTTCTAGAAAGATTAAATAATAAATTGCATGACCAGAAGCATTGAATTTTTAGCATTCGGTTTTTCTCATTCACCCACTATGACAACATTTAATCATTTTAGCATTTTTTAAACCACAATAATGATATCATTATTTGATGGTAGCATCAAAACCACTACCATCAATACACAACCCAGACCAAAACCATACTATCATCAGCTACCATCACCACGAGCACCACCACTCTCATCATCACTATCAACTCTGTAAATGAAACTGCCACCACCATCCCATCACTCATTATTACCACCAAAAACCATGTCAGAATAATTGAGTTTTCATCCCTAGCACCATCACTAAGATCTGCTACCATCACCACCTCCTTCACCACTACCTCTACCACTACCAATTCTCATCCACCGTCACTACCATCATCACCATCACCTTCACTACCATCAACACCACACCAAAATCACCATTACTGTCTTCTACCACCACTACTGCTGCTTACATTAGTGGAAACGTTTGCTATATGCCAAATAGTATGCTAAACATTTTACTTATATTAATCATTTTACCCTCACAATAACCTTTATAGAACAGCCTCATGTTTCTGACTATAAAACTGATATAGAGAGATTAAGACCCTTGATCAAAGACACAGCTAAATAGTAGCATCCATGTCAGTGTATGTGTGATTCCAAAGTCCATTCTCTGAGCTGTTCCTTTCTGCACTTACTTAACTGATACAATGTGGAATTTTCAAGTTCTCTTGTTTGCATTTCTTTAGTTGATGTTCAGGTTGAGCATTTCTACATGTGGT